TATTAGAAAAGATATACGGCTAATTTCGATTTTAAAATAATTATTTATGCTTTTATGGAGTCATACATTTCACTTAAAAAGGTCGTTTAAATTCTGAATATCCTAATGCGCATTTAATACACGCCATAAGAACACACTGTTGTAAATTAAACTTCTGATAACCGTTTTTTAATTGTATGTACCGTTTATTATTGAGTCGTGATGTAAAACTGTTTGAATTATTTAATTATGTAGGAAATACGGTGAAAATGTTTTTGAGAAACTCAGATTCTACATAATTTTCTAACAGATCGAATACAGGTGAAATGCATTTCCTTTAATATATCAATTGTTTGCGGAATATGGACACATTCAAGGGATTCAAAATTATTTAATCAACTTTTTAATTATAATGTGATTTACGACCTACCCTGAAAATAACCATTTTTAATCGACGAAAAAAAGGATGAGGTTCTCAAGTCTTGTTTTTTGTCTTTCTTTTTTTTATACCACACATAACATTTGGTCATCCTTTTTTTATTGGAAAGAGTATACCCCGAAGTCGATCTGATATAAATTTGGAAAAAAAATTCCAACCCTAAGGGTAGGAAAACATGGGATGATTGTTGATTGTTGTACACCCACTGATTGTAATGTATGACCACGCATAACTTTTGACAGAGTAGTCCGATTTTGATAATTCTTTTTTTATTGGAAAGGGTATACCCCGAAGTTAGTCCCATATAAATTTGAAAAAAAAATCCAACCCTAAGGCTAGGAAAACAAGGGACGATTGTTGATTGTAGTTCACTCACTGATTGTAATGTATGAACACGCATATATTTTGACAGAACAGTCCGATTTTGCTAATTCTTTTTTTATTGGAAAGGGTATACCCCGAAGTTGGCCCTATATAAATTTGGAAAAAAATCAAACCCTAGGGGTAGGAAAACAGGGGATGATTTATGGTAGGAAAATAATAGTAGTAATTAGTAGATTATAGCTACAAAAAAATTAAACCGCCGATAAAACTGAAAAACAAAAAATAATAAACCTTTATTTTATTAACTTTAATAACTAAGTTCTTCAACTAATATAAGTCTACCTAAGTAATTTTGAGTCGGCGCTAAACAATCAACAAACAAAGATCTCTAAATTACCTTAATTTTGTAATTGATATTGATATTGTTATGTATGATCTGCCGGACTTGGATGAGTGTTCATTTTTGAATTTCGAATTATAATTTTATTGTTTTTATGTCGGGTCCTCAGGTGTGGCCGTACACTTTGAAATTTGGGACAACTGTGCAATAAATACAAAACAAAATGGTTAAAGCAATTAACATATTCGGAATTTTAAATATTTTTTCTCGCGGGTGTTTTCTTTCAAGTATCATAATGTTCGGTGATTGCGGGCGGCGGTGGCGGTGGATCTTTTGGATCCCACGCCGAAGGGGCGTTCGGATCTGTAATCAAATGCGCTAAGGAGGGGCACACGGTGGGAAAAGGCAGCCGTACAGACGAAGTCCGGGACCGTGATATTGGGGCCCTCGTCTATACACGCACGTATTTATACATGTAGTTAAGGTAACCCGTTGCAATTTCAGGCAATTTTGTTCGCAAAAGTACCGACAGCTAAAGTTATACTGGCGATCATTGTTGTAGTAATAATAAAAATCGTGCAAACGCAGTGGTAATTTTTGTGTCGAAAGATTTTGGGTTATAGGGCAATGCACGTAACGTCCATGGGATATACAACAATAAAGTACCATAT